CGGTTCAACATTGTCAAATAAAATTTCTTTTTGGTCCATTCTCGTGATGAGACAATATTCAGTACCAAGGATAAAGCGTTAAGGTTTTTTAATGGTTTCTAAATTTGATACGGGGTATATTAAATAGTGTATCTACGGGATAACATGCTTAGGAATCATCTATGTAAGTGTGAAGTGTAAGCTGCTTCAAGGAGAATTCTGTAAGGTCAGTTCTCTACATACTTATGAACCAGGTGGTGTTCATGGCTGAAACGAACACAACAATGAGAACCAAAGACGGTTAAGGGTTGATTGTGTGACTTATGGTTGTCTAGGTATACACCAAAGTTTGACGGTTCAAAGATATCAAATATACCGATTGACCGAGTATATCCGACAAAAGCTCACTACGGAAAGTTCAAAGGGAAACCTACTTATCCAGATGCGATTAATCCTTAATTGCGAATCACACAGAATTTTCATGCATGTTTTTTCACATATGTCCATTTCCCATTCATGGGGATGTTGCGTTTTTAAGGGGTGTGAATAGAAAATGGAAGAGGCATCTCTTGGATGTGAATGGGAAATGGAAGAGGTGCCTCTTGGATTGCACCTCTTCATCTCACCCTTTCATTGGGGTGTGAATGAGAAATGGAAGAGGCACCTCTTGGATTGCACCTCTTCATCTCACCATTTCATTGTCTATAAATAGAGAGGCTTAGCATCACTTTCCACCACTAAAAAATCTGAAATCTCTCCCCTCAATTTTTTGCATACTGCATTGGTTTTTCAAAAACAAAACATAAGCATTTTATGTGATTTGCTCCGCCATTTGAGTTCGCCGAAATTCTGTGATTTGAAGTGCCGCTATCACAGAATAGTTATTCCGTTCTATCCTGAGAGGAATTAATCCGCAACCTTGGGCATTGTGAGGGGATTAAATTTCTTAAGGAAACATAAGAAACTTGTGGGCTCAGAATTTTTTCTGCTTTGTTTTTTCCTTAAACTAACGTTTATTGATTTACTAGTTTTGAATACAGAGTGATAACAAAATCCACCTGCAGGGTTTACACATGAAAACTTATAAGTTTTCATAAAGGTGTATCATCAATCTTTAGATCGAGACATGGATTCCATCAACTACATATTTCGCAAATGTACATTATTATTATTCAATTTACCAGGCATATTGACCCACGAAAGGATCTCGCCTTTTAATAAATCAAAACAATAATAATATACATAGCTAATAATAATTATATCAAGATTAAGAGTATAAGTACATTTAATGGCTAGAGAGTTTATTTTATTAAGTCAGTATAAAATACTTATCTCTACTTGGTCCGTTCAATACATACAAAATGTACTAGCACAAGAAGTCGGAATTAAACCATTCTCATAATCAAGATAAATTATATTTAATCTGGTGCTACAATCATTCCTGGTGGTTTGTCCAATTTCATCATTAGATTGTGAACATGATCTTTATACTTATAAGAACCGGTGATTTAATCTTTCGTATATAAGGTAAACTCTATATACTAAATCATCTACTATATAAGTAAAGGACACAAACGAACATATGATCTATTTAAAACTTTATTAAAATTAAACAAATAATTATTCCATAATAAATACTATATCCAAACCAAATCCATGGTTAATAGTATATACGGCAAAGGGTCAAATATACCCCTCTACTTTTAAAAATGATCTAAGAATACCCCTCGTTATACTATTGGGTTATTTATACCCCTGCAGTCATATTTTGGGTTCAAATATACCCCTCATTTAAACGGAGGGACATATGTCACCGTCCTGTTGGTCAATTCTAAATATCTCCTAATTAATTAAAAAGACTCATTATCCATACCCGAAAAATATATTTTTTTTTGTAAAAACTGGAAAAAACTAAAAAAATATTTTTACTAAAAACTGAAAAAAAAATGAAAATATTTTGCTTTCCAGTTTTTACAAAAAATTGCTTTAAAAAAACTGAAAAATATTTTCTAAAATAATATTTTTGTAATAACTGAAAAGCAATTTTCTAAAGCAATTAAAAACTGGAAAAAACTAAAATATTTTTAACTAAAAACTGGAAAAAAAATTGTTTTTTCAGTTTTTACAAAAACACTGCTTTAGAAATTTGTTTTTTAGTTTTTTTTTTTCAGTTTTTACAAAAATATTGTTTTAGAAAATATTTTTCAGATTTTTTAAAGCATTTTTTTTGTAAAAACAGGAAAAAAAATTCGTTTTTTTCAGTTTTTAGTAAAAAAAAAAAAATCAGTTTTTACAAAAAAAATTGCTTTAGAAAATTGATTTTCAGTTTTTATTTTTTCAGTTTTTTCAAAAACATTGTTTTAGAAAATATTTTTCAGTTTTTTCTAAAGCAGTTTTTTTGTAAAAACTGGAAAAAAAAAATATTTTCGTTTTTTCAGTTTTTAGTAAAAATATTTTTTTAGTTTTTTTCAGTTTTTACAAAAAAAAAATTATTTTTCAGGTATGGATAATGAGTCTTTTTAATTAATTAGGAGATATTTAGAATTGACCAACAGGACGATGACATGTGTCCCTCCGTTTAAATGAAGGGTATATTTGAATCCAAAGTATGACTGCAGGGGTATAAATAACCCAATAGTATAACGAGGGGTATTCTTAGATTATTTTCGAAAATAGAGGGGTATATTTGGCCCTTTACCGGCCGTAGTATATATCCCAACAACCATATCCTCTACAACACCATAAAACTTGTCTTCGTTAAGGCGGAAAATAGAAAAATAATGCAATACTGATACTTGTTTATCTCTCTATTCTCCCTCTGTGTAGTATCTTCAATACAAATACTCGTTTAAAGGACGTGATACAAATAAAAAAAGGCTGTATTTATATTTGAAGTGCAAAATAACAAGAATTTTTATCATTAACAACTAATGGAAAGATAAGACATAATTTTAATCCATAGACATGATTACTTTATAGAAGGCTCAAGGATAAGTAGTGTAATGAATTTTAATTCTTGAATCTGTGAATTGTTTAATTAAAATAATTTTTGAAATGTTTATTAAAAATAATATTGCAACTGGTGTGATACCATGATCCAAGGGCAGCACGGTGAACGAAACATTTCCCTGAACCCTGTTCAGGAAAGTATCGCACTCCAAGGGGTGTCATCTAGGCAATCTACCCTTATGCAAACATCAATGACTGATTTCACGTTTCGAACTCATGATTTATAAGTAAGATAGAAACAATTTTAACATTGGTCCAAGTCTACGACTTTTCGTACAAGAATTAGTAATGTGATTGAATCATTTTAGAATTTTAGAATTAGTGCTTTAGCATAACGTGCAAAGCAGAAAAAAGCAATAGTGCTGCCATTAAACTAATAAATTAGAAGCAGTGTCCAAGATTGTACTACTTATATGTACAGATTAAAGAAATAAAAATGTAAAAAACAAAGCAACAGATCCAGCAGAAAAGCCAACTTGCACCCACCACACAACCCCAAAAAGCAGGGGGATTTGCTTTCCTTTTTTCCCCCAAAATAGGCAAAATATGACATGTCAAAATGGGCAAAATGGCCAAAGTTTTGCCAAATAAGGCATTTGCTTTTTCTGGTAAATGTTAGGAGCTGGAAAAACTAAAAGAAAATCAGTACCCACATGAGTCCCACAGTTTTCTGCAAATACCATACCTTTCACATAACTAAAGTCAGATGCTTGTGCACAGACCACTCTTGATTTAAAATATTTCCCTTTTACTAACTGTATACATGTGCAGTAAACCAGAGCCTGACACTAATATTCCAGGTTTTTCTTCCATCTCTTTTCTTGGAATTTTGAAGATTTTAACATATATAAAAATGTAAGTTTATTCGACATAGTTACCTATACATATACTGATAGGCAGGGGCGGACACACCCTTTCCCAAGTTGATCCAGAATTTTACTAAATATACATATAGAAAGATAAAAAATTCTGCCTACGCACAAGAGAGCCGATACTTGACTGACGAAATAGTATAGGTGCACATAAGCTTACTCGAACACCACTATTATATGCGATAAAGATTTATAAATCAGCCATGTAGATGACTGGCTTGATAAAAAAAACTTCAATCACATTCCTCTTTAACATTTTGATTGCTTAAGTAAACAATTTTCCAAAAGATATTTGCTGAACTAATTGACATTAGAATTAGACTTTCTTTTTATATGCTATTATTTCTATAAGGTATATCTAATCTATCCATCCACATCATTTTCATTTCACATGGAATGGTCTTGGTCTATTATGAATTGTGTGTCCCACTTCATTAACACTTTGTCCTATAATTAAAAAAGAAGCAAGACTCTTATGCCAAATTTGGTGCACCACCTCATTCATGATTTGATTAGAAAACAAACACTTCAATTTATTTAGGTGGCATATAGAGCAAAACAGTTCTATATTTGGTCTTTTTTAATAACTGGTGTCCGATCCAAAGGAAATAGCATTTAAAAATTATTTAGTGGAGGAAAAGTGCATTATTCAGACGACTGAATTTAACAAAATATCAGCTGTACTGTGAAGACAAGTGCATAATTCAGACAACTGAATTTAACAAATATCAGTTGTATTGTGAAGATAAGTGCATAATTCAGACAACTGAATTTAACAAATATCAACAGTGTACAGCTACTTTTTCTTGATCTGCGTCTATGCAGTGTTGGAACTTGACATGTAGAATCTTTCATGTAAGCATTCATCAGTAAAGCACACATAACAAGTTTCCTTCCACTCAAAGCAGAGCGAAATCACAGAACATGGATTATGGCTTGTTGGATTAAAGACAGCATAATTAAATGAGGCAAGCCATCGCTTATAATCAATGTAGGTCACAGAATTAATTCTTTCCATTTCAGAGGTTGCTATGCCTTTGTCCAGAGAGGAAAAACTCAGTTACTGCAGAAAACTGCAGATAGCATGGGTGGGAGAAAGAAAAATAATGCGTATAGCTAATTTAATGAAGCCTCAGCAAAGAAAATTCAAACATAAGAAGAAAAATATCCATTATTTAGTATCCTTTAGATCAGTGAATCAGCCATATAACTCAATGAACAAGGTGAAAACTAAGAACACTTGGAAGCAAGCAGTCTGCAGAATGAGTGAGTGAGATAACCATCCAGTTTGAGGATGTTTGGCTAGAACAATTGCTTATCTCAAACACCAGAAATATGTTAAATTGGATAATGAAAAAAAAAAGCTAATAAATCAAACAATGTGTTGGAATTAAGCTAAAAACAACGGTTGAAAAGAGTGACTTCTCTTCATTTGGTTGACTCAACTTCTCAACAACCCATCACAGCACAATTGTATACAAAGACCCCAGAATGCTCTTTCAGACCGATGACCTTCCAATCCAAGGTGCCGTCCTTAAACCCTGATTTTGGTGCCCAAGAACTCAATACGATAGATTCACCTTCTGGGCCCCTGTGACCGCCCACCACCAGAAGTTCTTCACCACGTGCTTTGAAAGCAAGACCCCAACCATTTGAAGAATCAGCCCTCACAGGAAGTCTTCCCAACACTTCCCATGAGTTTTTCTTCTTGTCATACTTTTTTACCATGTTGGTTAGATATTCAACTGCATATAGTTGGTTATTAACAACTGCAACAAGAGGAGGTGCCTGAGCAGCTCTATTGACATTTGGATACATGCCCTCAATTTTCCTCCACTTCCTTGTTTGTATATCAAATTCTTCCCCACAAGTTAAAGAATCAGTAGAGCTAGTCATCCCACCGATCACATAGAATTTTCCATCCATGAAAAAGCCAGAGCACGATCTACGGGGAGAGTGCATGTTTGGCAGTATTTCCCATCTACCGGTCAAGGAATCATAAAGCTCGGCAGATTTTAGTACATTTCCATTCTTGTCACTACCCCCTGCAATAATAGCAATCGAACCAAGACTACCTGATCCAAATAGACAACGACGATGCTTCATTCCTTCACATTTCGCCCAGTTGTTTTGAACCAAACTATATTTCCATATAGCAAAATCAAACAACTCGCGGCCAAAAACCAGCAGTTCACTTCCAACTGCTAATGACTCCTTATCTGCAAAATTAAAACAATCATCACATGGAATTTTTGGCAATCTCAACCATTTCTCTCTGAAAGGATCAAAAGCCTCCCAATCCCGAGGATCACAAACCATATACACCCAGTGTTCAACAACACCTAACCGCCTTCGCAAGTCATATAAATAACCACTCTTGATTAGTGAATTAAACCTTCCATTCAGGCACGACAACGATGCATAATCCGATCTAGAAGCCCAAGCGAGACATGTTAAAGCAACATCATCATGTAGGCCCGGAAGAAGTGAATCACTTGATCCAAACTTGCAATGACCATCATCAACTTCTTCTTCTAACCTCATTCTCCTCTCCTCTTCATCTTCCTTCCCAAACAAATAATCATGAGAAGACTTATTAACCTTATTGTTACAACAGAACACTTTCTTTGACTTGTGGGTTTCAGAAGCCATGTTATCAATACACCAGCCAGAGTTCCCCTAGCAATCAAACTTCACAAAACTCACAAAAGTATATGTGAAAAGGTCAAAAATTCCAATCTTTTCCATCAAAACATCATTTTCTCACTTTAGCCCAAAAAAAAAACAACCCATCTTGGAAAAGACCTCCACCTTGTTTCTTAACTATCCATTCAAACAAAGCAGCAATTACAATATTGCCCCTCAAAAAAGTCTTATTTTTATCTCAAAACTAGCACCTCTAATCAAAGTTATTGAAATTCCACCTATTCAATAATCAATAAAAACCCAAACTTCCAGTAAAGATTCAAACTTTACTCATTTTTTAGCTGTTTTTTCCATTAAAGCTTCAAACTTTCCAAATATTTTCAAAAATATTTCCCCACAAACCAAAGAACATTAACTACAAAGCATATTCGTGAAGCAGAAAAAATAAAATACACCAAAACAAATGGAATTAAGATAGTGATTCGGATCCAAACCGGGTCCCGAAACCTTAGAGGATCTCACCGGAAAATCTGCCACTTATTTCTGCCGGCGGGGAATCAGCGTCGCCGGAGAGCAAAACCGGTGTGGTGATGCTTCCATTGCCGGAGGAAATAAACTCTCGATCCAATCTCAGGTATTATACCGCCGGAATATCCGCCGGAAATGTAATTACGGCGACATTCTCACCGGAATCGCTATGAGAGAGATTTAGAGAGAGAGTGTGTGTGTGGGGGGGGCGGTTTTTTCTTAAGAACAGGAAACTGATAAAAGTAATGGAAGAAAACTTTATTTATTTATAATGACGGTCCCTTATCATTAAAGATATTTTGTTTTCGCCCTGTTTTAAGAGATTTTGTGCAAACTCACCCTTTTTCTATTTTATATTCTTGTTCTAAAGTTTTAATTGTTTTTTGGTACTGTTATCTTACTGTTCTCCATAATGATATTGTTTCGAGTCAGTTTAGAACAGTATGCTGATTAAATATTGTTTCCGTGTGTTGTTTGTTTTTTCTTTAGAATTTTTTTTATCCTTTTTCTTTTTTCTAAACCCAAAACTACAAAATTTCATTAATTTTTCATCTTCTTTTGAATTTTCGACCCATTTGAAGCTTGTATAAATTACTGGATTAAGCATCAAAGAGAGTAAAAAGAGTGCTTCGTGCACCTGATCAATTTAGATTTCTTAGTTATAACTTATAAGAAAAAAATTAAAGTTAATTTCTTAAATTTGAGGATAAGTATGTTTTCGCCCCTATGTATTATCTTGAGCGTATATTATCCTCTAAATTTGTAAAAATTAAATACTTTTCGTCCAAAGGGCGAACATCTAGACGAGCCATTAAAACTAACGGAAATAATATGTTTTTTCATGTGAATAGATAAAAAAAAAAACGAAAATAGATTCTTTCCCAGTTTATTTTCTCCCTGTTTGCATTAATCACAACAAAAACAGGAAAGTTTAGACAAGAAAATTAGTAACAAAATTGAAAAAATGGGTATGTCAATAACGAAAATAAACTGCTATCTGGAGCAAAATGAAATTGGACAAGAAAACACCACTCCTGATCGTTATTTAACTTGATATATGCATTTTAAGCATATACTACAAATTAATTAAATGAATTTAATGTCACTTTTGTAAATATTTATTACAATAAACTGTCTACATCATTATTCCTTAGGCCCTTTCTCAGCATGAATGCGAGGATTCTTCGTATACCGAGCTGTCTTTTCTACTATATTCGGTCCACAATAAGTGATCAATTTGTCTTTTTTATTTTGGTCCAAAATAAGTGTCCATTTATCTAATCAAGAAAAAATTCAATTTGTTTTTCCAAAATTACCCTTATATACGTATCCCTAAAAAGTCTTTTACTCCTCACATTAACTATGCTGTAATATTTAATTAATGGTAGTTTAGTCACGCTAACTATTTTTATCTAGAATTTTATATTTTTTTAATGGATATGTTCAAAGTAAATTGGTCAATTATTGTGAAAATTAAAAAATAGTAAATTTCCTAAATGAATATTGGACTTTCAGTTTTTGACACGTTTTGCAAAAGAAACCACAATGGTGTTATAACATGCTGCTGTTTGATATTGCGTTATTGTCAAGCAAATGAACAAATAAAGTCCGTTCAATTTCTATCTCATATGTCTATTTCAGTTATGCATTTTCGGTTCACTTTTAGTTGATAATCCTACAAGGAAAGGGAACTACTTTTTTCAAGTCACATCAAGTATCAAAACTAAAGATAGAAACATAAGTAGGAGCATCTTTTTTTCTCAAACCCAAAATTACTGAATTAGGCAACAAACTTACCTATCTATTTCTGACATCTATTTTTAACAGATAATTTTTACTGCATATTTTCATTCACGAATTAATAATATATGACAAGTTACTCTCAGAAAAGTTTTTATATGTTTTGATTAATGTGAGCAAGGTCGGAGCTAGGTGAACGGAAGGGGTTCAGTCGAATCTCCTTCGCCGAAAATTATATTGTATAAATAAGTTTTTTAATATATATATATATATATATATTAGATGTTGAATCACTTTAACTTTTTTGTGTATTTATTTTTTTTTAATTTTTTGAATAGTAATTTTAGTACACACGGGAGATCAAATAAAAGCTTGAAGCTTAAAACAATCATCCAAAAATATATACTCGTACTAGTTACAATTATTAATTAATAGGAAGTCTTATTAATCGTTTGAGTTCTATGTTAAGTTTAGACTAATTGGCAACTCAACTTACTTTCGTCAACATTGATTTATACAAAAACTTGATGCTTTTCCTATAAACATATTTGCAAATAGCTTATTCAGTATATTAATTATAGTAGCTTATAGTAATCAATTCAATCAAGAATGTGTCATAAGCTTCAGCCTTCATAGATGGGCTAAATTCGGTCTTACAGCTAGGTCCAGTTTGTTTACTTTAAAATAATGTGTGGTATTAGTAGCCACATTCTCTTATAGTTTGAATTATTTAGTTTCGAGTATTCTGGAAAAAGAAAACAGAAAACGAAGCAGCATGTGTGTGCAATCATATACTATATGCTTTAATTCTTTTTTTCCAATTTGGTTCCATTATATTGTGCAAATTATCAGTTTTGTTGTTTAGGGATATGAACTAAGAGCCCCGAACATTGCAACAACAACAAATCTAATGTAATCCCACAAGTGAGGATAAAGATGATGTTTCCGATAGACCCTCGATTCAAGGACATAAACGAGGGGATCGAAGGGGTTTGGAGGGAGTGAGTTGCAGCGATGGGGGAGGTGGTTGAGTTGTTTGGGGCAGTAGGGTGGGATAGGGGTGTACAAAGAAAATCGATAAATCGCATCAACCCTATAATCTGAGTCAAACCGAGAAAAAAAATCCCGATTGTGGTTTAGTGTTGGAAAAAAAAATCCGATCATAATTGGTTTGGTTCGGGTTTGGTTTTAACTAAAAAAAGTCAAAACGAAACCAAACAACCCAACATTACATTTATACAATTTTAAAAAATATTTTATGCATATAAATATTTATTGTAATATAATTTATAAATATTTTTTAAACTTATTCATAATTTTATCTTTAAAAATTGCTAGTATCTATGAACGTCTGTTGCACGTTAATAATGGCACGTGATGATTTAAACATTTATTTATATGAAGGAACAATAAAATTTAATTAATGAGAGAAATTTTATGTATAATAGAACAACAATCATTTAAAGGCCGAAAAATACTATTACATTAGCATAATACATGAATTTAAAATAAAAGGACATCATCAAAACTTACACAAACGATCAATTTTGTCAAGTTAGTTAGATAATTATATATTATAGTTTAAAAGTATTTAATGTGATGATATCTTAACGAACACTTCTTTGTAGACAATATTTTTTTGTGTATGTTTCCTCCTAATGCGTTGATTGCTTTGTATTAACCAGAACTCTTGTTGTCGATCTTGATATCCCTCTTGAAAGTGCAACATATAGTTGTTCATGCAAGAGAAATATATTGCGGTAAATATAGTCCAATATTTAGGATGTTTGCCCTTATGCTTTATTTATTAGTGCAAAACATATACATAATAAAAATTATCTTCACACAAATTTAAAAGGATATTCCTTAGTTTCGAAGACGAAAGTTGAATTGAGGGATAAGAATATACTTAGAAGCACATTAACCAGCATCATAATTTTTGTATCTATGACGTTATTGTCAAAACTTCTATAGACCATATGTATGCTATTACATAAGCTATTCAGCATATCTAAGTTTTTCTGTAGTATGACATGCATATTTTTTCTTCAAAATTAACTTATATACAATGGAAGATCAATTTTAAGTTAGTCTATTATATATATTGTGACACTAACATACGTAAGAAATAAGAAACTTGACAACAAACATGTATGGTAGAAGACCATTTGGTATTAAAGTATTTAAGTATTCTTCTTTGTAGTAATTATTGGTATCATTTTCTGCTGAGTCAAAAACTGAAAAATATTTTGTTTTTATAATAAAATTTTGCAATCAACTTTTTATTTAGTTGATCAACATATTCATTTCTGCTCGCTAAGATTTTTTTTTAATTCTATCATACGATTTGCACAAAATCTAATGATAGAAATATTTCTCTTATTAAATGCACTACTATTACCAGTGGGATTGATAATCAAGTGTTCAAGAAGAACCAAATCATATTTTATTGGATGCTCTTCTTCGTTTCCGACACGAAGCAAGAAGACACTGAATATTAGATTTGTTCTTACTTTATATTTCTTGTTAGTTGAATCTTTTTCGTTTGAGGCCAGAAGTATAACTTTGGCAAGCTAACATTTAAAGTCTCGACTTTTGTCGATTTTGGAACTACTGGTACTACTTGACAGAAATCACCTCCCAAACCATTAATTTTTCACCAAACGATTCATTAATATCCAATATATCTCTAGAACTTCGGGCAATTATTTCGATCGTTTGACACTTATCCATAAGTATTTCATCCCATATTATCGTTTTTTGCTTTCCTTATAAATTTAGCACAATTGCTCTGCTTTGATATATTTGTGATGCTTATTTAAGTTGTTTGAAGAGGTATATCAAATCTAAAGTAGGTGGCCTCACAATAAAATCGTTGTTGGTACACCACTTGCTATTATTGCTAACAATGTCATGCCTCTTGATATGATATTTGCAAGTAATTTTTGACATTGAAATATTATTTCGATTCCGCCGGAGGCATCTACAAAGAATAATTCCGTTATACCAGAGTCGACTCTTTATAATATAGTTTTGAAAGCTTGTTCTTGTTTAGGATTTAGCTTTGATTGTGCTTCCTCAGACACTTGTATAGCATTTTGATTCTTAATAATATATTAACCTTTTTACTTTGTGTTCTAACGCTCTTTTTAGGGAATACATATATATACCCTAAGATTTTATTTTAACTTGAATAAGAATTTTACTCATATGATGAATTAAGAAATAATTGAATTGGATTCTTTTGCTAAATAATTAATTAAAAGATTTAATTATTTTGTTTTAACATAAAATTTTTTTTTATTCTATGTTGATTTAGATCTTAATATTAGTTCATCTCTTGTTTTGAATATTTAATATTAACTATAATTTTATCCACCATAAATTTTATTTTCAAAGAGTAAAAGATTGATATAACATTTCACTCTTAGATCTTTATGTTTGTAGAATCATTAGTGGTATTGATTCTTACCAATCTTTTTTTTCTCTTTCTTAC